TATTCACTACTTTATTACTTGACGACCACGTATACTTGCGTGAGTGTGTTTGGCCGTAACAGGCATATAACATATATTGAACACCCTTTATCAGAGAATTTTTTTTCACTTCTTTCATGTTTGAACACCCTTGAAAATATTTATGGCGTCTCCACTGATCACACCAGATATGTTTTTATTGTTGTTGAATATAAACCGCATATATTATCCAAATTGACGCATAAGAAAACTTTGTCAAATCAATGTGCTTGTTAGAACTGGTGCAATGATTAACAGCTAGTAAAATATTACCAAACTAAGCAATTGGATTAGAGTTTGTGAGATTAGAAACAAAGGCCCGCAACCCATGATGTGCAAAGTGAGATGGACCAAAGGACGACTATGTGGATTTATGATGAATCCCATCTTGAACTAACCCACATGAAGTGGGCCTCTTAAGTCACTTAGAGCTAAAATCTAGCATCTATCTTTTAAGAATTGGGCCCACGTCTGTGTTAGAATTTATCAGATGGTGTGAAACACAAGCCTTGACATCATTGGAAGTGTATTTATGAACAAAAGTTCCAAAGATAGAAAATTTTGTTTACTTCTTATATTTACACCAAATCAGATAAATTTACGTGAATTAAGTATAAAATTGATATTATTATTTACTTTCATTAAAAGTATACATAGATAACATTTGTTATGCATTTATTAATTTGATATAGATATTTGATGCTTTCATTCATGTGTTATGCATTTTTCTGTATCCACTGTTTCGGACTCAAAATATAGAATATATATAAAAATGATAAAAAGAACAACATAAATATTGATGTTGATATAGTCATATAGATATAAATAACATTTATTGCCTTTCTATTATCCATTTGATAAAATATTTTAGTTGCTATGGTTTGGAATCTTGGAATGAATGCGGTACCTAATGGTATTGAAGCCTTGACTTCAACTCCTGAGGGAGTGGCGTTGGGTCTTTGTTTGACAACCCAATTTGCAGATTTCTGACTTTGGTTTTCAATGTTGTCTATTTCGACTGTGGGCGAACTCGTCAAATTGCTAGTCATTTAAATCTTGGTAAATATCTGTTTTAGAACTACAGTCAAACCTCTCTATAACAATCTTGTTTGTTCCAAATATTTTTGAATGTTATAGCGAAGTGCTGTTATAGAAAATATATATTATAACATAACATAAAAATTGGTCCCGAAAAAGCTTGGCTTTTATAGTGAAGTTGTTGAAATCTAGCCCTAAGCTCCGCCATTGATGAGCTCGAGCAAGAGAAAGAACATAGAGAGCGTTAGAGAGAGAAAGGAACTGAAAATGAGAAAACCGTTTCATCTATTACTTGCTTAGCTGTAAAATGAACTGTGCACCTCTTATTATACTAACTAACATAACTAATCATCTACTAACTTACTTAACTAATCACCTTCTAGAAGAGTACTACATAAATACAGAAATGTACAACTATTTACCACTTCTAATTTCAACACTCCCCCTCAAGTTGAGAATGAAAAAATGTCTTTCATTTCCATCTTGGAGATTAATGCAGCATGTTGTTGATGTCCTAGTGCTTTGGTCAGCACATCAGCTGGTTGTTCCTGACTGGGAATGTAGGAAGACTTGATTAGCCCTTTTTGAATCTTCTCTCGGATGGAATGACAGTCTATTTCTATGTGTTTTATTCTTTCATGATACATAGGATTTGCAGCAATTTGCAATACTGCTTTATTATCATAGAACAACTTCATGGGCAGCTTTAGATTCACACTCAGCTCTTCCAATAGACATTTCAACCACACAAGTTCAGCTATTGTGTGTGCCATGCTTCTATACTCGGTTTCAGCTGAGCTTCTAGATACAATATGTTGCTTCTTAGCTTTCCGGGATATGGTTGAAATCCCAAGTTTAACACAGTATCCAGTAACAGATTTTCTTGACATAGGACATGATGCCCAATCTGAATCACAAAATGCTTCTATTTCTTCATTGCTGTCACTTGACATCAACAGCCCCAACCTTAGTTGCTTCTTGATGTACCTTACTACATAAAGTGCTGCTTCATAGTGAGATTTCTTAGGTGCATGCATAAACTGGCTTAGTGACTGCACTGTATATGAGATATCTGGCCTTGTTATTGTTAGATACAAAAGCTTTCCTATGAGCAGTTGATAACTCCCCTTGTCTTCCAGTAATTCATCTCCCTTACTTGTGTCTGTGCAAGTATCAAACTCAGTGCTTGTCAGCTTCAAGTTCTGCTTCATTGGTGTATCTTTAGGCTTAGAACCTGCCAAGCCTGCATCAAAAATCATCTTTAGTGCATATTTTCTTTGAGTCATAAGAATGCCCTCCTTTTGCTCTAGCAAATTCTATGCCTAATAAATATCTGACTTCTCGAAGCTCTTTCATTTTGAAGTGTTGATGCAGAGACTCCTGTGCATTTTTAATTTCTTGTGGATCATTTCCTGTAACAAGTAGATCATCTATATAGAACAAAATCAAAATAAATTTGTTATCCATATTTCTAGTAAACAAAGAATAGTCATGCTTGCTTTGTTTAAAATCAGATGAAGACAAGGCTTGAGGCAGCTTCACATTCCATTGCCTAGAACTTGAGCCCATATAGGGATTTAAGTAGCCTACAAACCTTATGCTCCCCCTGGCTACTAAATCCTTGGGGAAAAGTCATGTAGACTTCCACTTCAAGATCTCCATTCAAAAAAGCATTCTGAACATCCATTTGAAAGATAGACCAGTGCTTGAGAGCAGTAGTGACAATGACATCCCTCACAGTAGTCAACATAGCAACTGGAGAGAAAGTATCATGGAAGTCCAAACCTTCCTGTTGTGTAAAGCCTTTAGCAACCAATCTAGCCTTGAATCTTTCTATAGTGCCATGTGTATTATACTTTATTTTATATACCCATTTGCATCTAATGTGTATTTTACCAATAGGTAAGTCAACTACAGACCAAGTGTTTTCTGCTCTAGTGCTTCAATTTCAATTTCATAGCTTCAACCCATCTGTCATCTTTACTAACTTGATGAAAAGATGAGGGTTCAACATCAGCAGAAAAAGAAGTAAGGAAGGCTTTGAAAGAAGGAGAAAGGTGAGTATATGAAACAAAATGTTGAATATGATGAGAAGTAGAATAAGTAGATGGTAACGGTGGATGAACATAGTCATCCAACCAGATTGGAGGTTTGCTAGTTGTCCCAGACTTCCTAGAAAGAGGTAAGTCATGTGAGGAAGAAGTGCTAGGTTCAACAGAGGTAGCAGGATCCATGGGAGAGGGAGAGAGCAAGGTGTCTGATGGGATTGAATCTGCATCAGGGAATGGAGGTTCTGTCAATAGAGGACTGCGAGGTTCTGAAGGTGAAGATGGCAAGTTGGTATTTGGAGATGAAGGCAGTGAAGTGGATGATGTTTGAGTAGATGAGTCTGGACCATGATCTAGTGTTGGAGAAGGAGAAAAGACCTTAGAACTAGTTTCAGGTATGACTATTGACGAATCATGGTGGGATGGTAGAAATTTCTCTTTTGGACATTTGAATGGAAAAATATTTTATTTAAAGACAACATATCGATTGACAAAGGTTCTTCCAGAGTTAAGGTCATATAGCTTATAGCCTTTCTGTGTAGAAGCATAACCCAGAAGAACAACATGAATGGATGTTGGTTGGAATTTGTAATGAGAGTCAAGTCTGGTAGCAAAACAAAGACATCCTATTATTCTTAGGTGATCCAGTTTAGGTGAACAACCATGAAAAAGCTCATAAGGAGTCTTTCCATGTAGAACAGTGCTAGGCAATCTATTAATGAGATAAATGGCTGCTAGAATACATTCACCCCATAGTTTTAAAGGTAATGCAACTTGAAATCTCAAGGCTCTGCCTACTTCAAGTAGGTGTCTATGCTTCCTTTCTACAACTCCATTTTATTGGGGAGTATAGACACAACTACTTTGATGCATAATTTCTTTGATTTGAAATAGATTAGAACAAAGAGAATTGAAGAACTCATATCCATTATCAGACCTGAAAATCTTGACAGTAGAGAAAAATTGGTTTTCTACCAAACAAAGAAAATTTGATAGAATCACATAGACATCACTTTTTAGTCTTAATAGAAAGGTCCAAGTCATTCTTGAAAAGTCATCAACAAGAGTTAGGAAATTTCTATAACCATTGTAAGTGTTTACTCTATAAGGACCCCACACATCCATATGAATAAGTTCAAAGGAACATTTTGATCTTGAAATACTAGTAGGAAATAGCAATCTAGTTTGTTTAGTTAATAGACAAACATGACATTTACAAGAACTAGAAGTAGACAACAATGTCTTTATTGTAGGTATCTTCTTAAGAACTGAATGAGGAGCATGGCCAAGCCTTTGATGCCACAACATAGTTGAGGAAGCAGACTTATTAGCGGTCATACATGTTGGAAATAAGAGGTGCAACAGGCTTTGAAGGATTGCGGATGTAGAGTCCATCCTTGAGGCTACCAATCCCCCTCACCTTGCCACTGAAGAGGTCCTGAAAGAGACAAAAATCAGGATAAAAAGATACTATACAGTTTAGCTCCTTGGTATATCTGTACACAGATAACAGATTGTACTTGAACTTAGGCACATAAAACACATCATGCAGAGTTTGATGGTTAGACAAGGCACATGGCCATGTATGAGTGATCTGAGTACTTTGTCCATTTGGTAAATGGACTGAAGTAGATTTTGAATGAAAACAAGCTTAGGACAAGATAACAGATCTAAGGAAGAAACTATGTGATTTGAAGTACCAGTGTCAATGATCCACTTAATTTGGCCAGTGATTGAATTACCTGCCATATTGGCTACATCTAATGGTGTTTGTTCTTCTACTGGTCCTTTTTAATTGCTCAACATTCTGAGTATCTGTTGGTACTGCTCAGGTGTGAAGATTGGAGCTGCTACATTGATCATGCCATTTATCATACCAATTCCATCAGTTCCTGTTTGTTTAGTCTCCTCCATCATACTCACATTGTGTGCTACAGGTGTGTAGTTGTCATTAGCCCTTCTTCTTTTCTTGTTGAACTTAAAACCTTGTGGATACCCTACCAACTTATAACAAGCCTCTCTTGTGTGTCCTTTCATTTTACAATAATTACAAAACATATTTGTGTTCTTTCTAAACTTCACATTTGAATTGTTTGCCGATACAAAAGAGCTGCTCTCAGTATTCATAGGTCCACTTCCAGGAATTCCATTTTGTACACCATATCCACTACTCAGCCTTTGACTTTCTTCCTGAACTATCATTGAATATGCTTGATCAAGTGAAAATGTTGGTTGTATCATTAGTATTTGACTTTTTTGAGGTGCATAAATGTCATTTAATCCCATTAAAAACTTCATAAGCTTCTGTTGGCGAAGAAACTCAACAAATGCCTTAGATTTCTCACAGTCACATGGTTCAAGTATTATTGACTCAAATTCGTCCCAGAGATCATTGAGGTTAGAGAAATAGACAGATACACTAGAAATCCCTTGTGTAGGCAACTGATTTCCCTATTCATATGGTACACCTTAGTAGCATTAATTTTGTCAAAACGATCCTTAAGTTCTTTCCAAACCTTTTGCGCATTTGAAGAGTACACAATTCCTTTCTTGAGTTCCTTAACCACAGAATTTTGAATCCATGACTGCACTATGGTATTGCAACGGTCCCACTGCTTCAATTGGAAGACATTCTTCTCGTACTGCTCTCTAGTGCAAGTTCCATCAACAAATCCAAGTTTGTTTTTCACAAGGAGAGACATCTCCATAGATCGCCTCCATTTTGAGTAATTTTCAGTTCCGATTAACTGTTGAGGAACAAGTGACGTATCCGGTGTATATGAGGGATGAACATACAACGGATCGTTACAATCGATATGCTGATTGTTTGCATATAAAGATCCAGCTGTAATTTGAGGTGAATCAAGCGTCATTTTGACGTAAAATTGACATAAAGAAACAGATCTGGGAAAATCAGACACGAAGAGAAGAAGATATCAAAGAACAGGTGAAGTAGAAGAAAAACGTAGGAAGTTGATATGATGAAATGCTCGTTGCTCAGTCACGAAGAATCATGGCTCTGATACCAAGTTGAAATCTAGCCCTAGGCTCCGCTATTGATGAGCTCGAGCAAGAGAAAGAACAAAGAGAGCGTTAGAGAGAGAAAGGAAATGAGAAAACCGTTTCTTTTGTTACTTGCTTAGCTGTAAAATGAACTATACATCTCTTATTATACTAACTAACATAACTAATCATCTACTAACTTCCTTAACTAATCACCTTCTAGAAGAGTACTACATAAATATAGAAATGTATGACTATTTACAACTTCTAATTTCAACAGAAGTCTTGGTATATAACACATTAACGGAGACAATCTCAACACTTGGACTTTTCTAACAAGGATAGCAAATAGTTGCTCCTCACAATCCCATTATCCCTTATCTTCACCTTATTAGACATAGACACATGAAATATCGGGTACACGGAGAACAATAATAGGGAAACATCGTATTCATAGTTTAGCCTATTTCCTTTCAAAATTCCATAAGGCCAAATGTGACTTCACATACTTTACCTTTATTAACAATTCACATAGCATCCTCATGTAGAAAATATTGAGAATAACCCATTCACTTTCTTCAACTCTAAATCTCCACGTCGAACACCCAAACTAAACCTTTGGCAACCTCCAATAATTTCTCTAAGATGTGCTAGCTTGACTATGACCATAAAATTTTCTATCCCATATATTTGATCACGGGATGATGCTTCTTGTTTGACATGCATGAACCTACAATACTTGATAGATTTGCTACAAACAGGAACAACGAGGTTCGAGATTTCGCTGGAAATATTCAAGAATCCATCAACGTGCTGAGCACAACATTTCAGGAGGTTATATCTTAAGAGACATGAAGGTCACTGCCAATAGCGCTGACATGGAGATTCGTTGTGGTGACACCATCGGTTCAACAAATGAGTCATAGAGTTTCCTAGTAGGCATAGATAATGTAGGGATTAGGTACATGATTAGGAGATTTAATTAAATGAGTTATTTTAGACATGTGACATATGGGAGGCATGGTCTGGAGGATAAAGACATTAGTGTCATTTATTCTTGGAATACTATGAGCCAGGAAAAGGACAACAACAATTGTTACATTCCATACGTGCCTTGTTTGGAAATAGCAGGCCTCAAAGAGAGATAGCACTTATGTGATACCAGTCGGCTCTTGGAATGTAGGGACAATCAGTTTAACTCAGAATGA